AATGAAACGATTTCAATTTACATAGCATCGGTCATATTCAATTCATGTACGCAGTTGCCTGAAAAGTTGCCGACGTTGCCTTTCTTATTATTCTCTTGCTGTAATGATAATTCAGAATAAGAAATTTATCATAGATTGGTTCAAATTTTTGAATTTTTTTAGAATGTACATTTCTTGTATAATACATACCAAATGCTTATTGAACTGTGTATTTGCCTTTGTTTTTCCGGAAAACCATATTTTCACTTTCTCATTTGATTGACAATATCCTTTGGAGTAGATGGTGTGTCTATCGTAGTTCTCATAGGTTTTACCCACGTAATTAATAGTATCAAAGTTTACCTTTCTTTGTTGATTTTTGTCTTTATTTTTGTTCAGCAATTTTAAATAGCCTTTTCGACATCTTTGATGCACGGCTATATTAGGTAAATAATCTAATTGTTTCGCCAAGGGATTTTGTTGTGTTTGCTGGTCTGCTAAGTAATGAGAATTTTTATTAATATTATTCATTTACGGAATTTATTCGAAAATGGGAGAAAGTTAAAATAACATCCTTACCCGGTATACGGCTAGATACTGTATATGGTAGAATTAAATTCAAAAAACCGTATTATGGTAACATAGTAAATGAAATTGTATTGTCGATCTATTTTCCTTTTATGGAAATTTACCTACATGTATAATACGGACCACGTGTATTGTGATTGTGCTAGCAATACGTGATTTACTTCATCACTGGAAATAGTGCCGAACACGATCTCACATTTACAATGGATATAGTTAAGGCGGTTCAGAATTATATAAACAAAATGGTTAACGAAGTAACGGGAATGAAGGTGTTGCTTCTTGATGCTGAGACGGTTGGTTTTCTTGGAGTGTATTTTGACCTGTTGATTTAAATCTTAAAGCGTTGTAACGAACAAAACAAAAATGTCTTAGTAGACACCGATTATTTCGAATGTTATGACTCAATCTAGCCTGCTTTCGCACGAAACGTATCTCGTTGACCGTATTGACAATAGAAATCGGGATAGACTACGACATCTAAAGTGCATTTGTTTTCTTCGACCTACCAGCGATACCATTCAATTGTTGGTTGAAGAACTTAGAGATCCTTGTTATGGAGATTATTATCTTTGTAAGTCAAGGTGATTCGCATTCGATCCACAGAAAGAGAATTCGTTACTCTCAATAATAATTAGTTTTCAACAAGATTTCAGTAACACGCTCAAAAAGTCGGCTATAGAAAGATTGGCTGAAGTGGATGAGCACGAAGTCGTACGTGAAGTACAGGCAGGTATCATTATATAGTTAATTAATTAATTAGCAAACATATCATTTCGAATTCTGAATCCAATACTGATGATCTAATTGTGCTCAGGAATATTTTGCGGATTATTGTGCTATCAATTCTGATTTTTTTTCCTTAAATCTTTCTTTACCGCAACACAAAATATATGGAGATTCGCTGAATACTTGGGATGGTAAAACGCTTCAACGGATTACGGAGGGTATACTGGCCGTTTTACTTTCATTAAAGAAGAAACCATTGATCCGTTATGAGAAAACGAGTGTAATGGCTATGAAACTTGCAACGGAAGTGCATGTGTGTTCAAGTTTTTTTTTTTTTACTTGTAATAGAGTGAACAATTTTCACGTAATTAACATATATACATATTACATATCATTTGTAGTATCAAATACAACAGGAAGGACAACTCTTTGATTTTCGCAAGACCGATACACCTCCAATATTGCTGATTCTCGATCGCCGCAATGATCCGGTCACACCTCTTTTATCACAATGGACCTACCAAGCCATGGTTCATGAGCTATTAGGCATTCACAATGGTAGAGTTGGTCTATATGATGTCCCTGATATCCGACCGGAATTAAAGGTTTGCATGTGTTATGCGTTATATGACTTATAGGGTTTCAATGAATCAAGGAACTGTTATTCAAATTTTTTTCGATTTCCAGGAAATCGTTCTTTCACCAGACCAAGATCCTTTTTACAAAAAGAACATGTATCTGAACCTTGGTGATCTTGGTGCAAATATCAAGTCATATGTTGAGGAGTATCAAACTAAAACGAAATCTAGTATGAACATTGAATCGATTGCCGACATGAAACGATTTGTGGAAGAATATCCAGAGTTCCGAAAGTTGTCTGGTAATGTTAGTAAACATGTAGCTTTAGTCAGCGAACTAAGTCGGTTGGTGGAAAAGGAAAATCTGTTGGAGGTTAGCGAATTGGAACAAAGTCTGGCATGTTATGAACAGCACGCCAGCGACTTGAAGGTGACGAAAGTTTTGTTCATATATTCATCTGATGTCCATAACATACGTATGATCTCATGATGATAATTTTATAGAATCTGTTAAAGATCATCGCAAGTTCCAATGTCTCTGATGACAGTAAAATTCGATTGGTTCTACTTTATTCATTAAGATATGAAAAGTCACCTAATAACTCGATTACCTCGTTGATCGATGAGCTGCATCGCCATGGCGTTAGCATACATAAAATTTCGGTACGTTTCATTGGTGAGCTCCACCCACTTAACCCAGAAAGCTTGATGAATGAATTACTTATGTTAATCAATAGTTGATCGAGTCGATGATTCAATTTGCTGGTGCTGATCAACGCCAAAATGACCTATTTTCCAATGAAAGTTTCTTTTCCCGGGGGAAAAGTGCATTCAAGGGGTTGAAGGTACGTTCGGAATGTAGTTTTCAACAAAATTGCTTTATTCATCAGTGTTGATCTTTCAATTTTCCATTTAAAAGGGAGTAGAGAACGTGTACACCCAACATTCACCTTACCTTGCACGAATTATCGAATTATTGCTTAAAAACAAATTAAAGGATACCAATTATCCGTTTGTCGATGGTGGGACAAAGGATAGGTAATGTTTAAATTACAAAACCTTTCATTCGATGGTTGAATTAATGTTTTTTCTGGACCTAGGCCCCAAGACATTATAATCTTTATGGTCGGAGGTACGACCTACGAAGAAGCTCGTCACATCGCTCAAATAAACACATCCACCCCTGGGGTCCGGATTGTTTTGGGTGGCACCACGGTGCACAATAGCGAAAGGTCCGTGGATACTTGTTATAATATATATATATATTCGTTAGTGAAAAAAGTACTTACTTCTCGTCACCATTATTATTAAAATAGTTTCTTGAACGAGATCCAGGAAACATTTTATAGGTTCTCACCAACGGGTGCCACTGGCGCAATGCCATCAAGATTTGGAAGAAGTCGAAATGGTCACTAATAGTTTTATTTTTATTTAATACAGGAGGTAACGATGAAGTTTGTATAAAATTTGTAATCACGATAGAATAATGATTTTGTATTAATTGTCTCGATGCCAGATCCAAATCATCGTGTATCGTGTATTAATATACTATATCATAAAATAGCAGAACAATTTATGGTTAATAGAAATTTATATTTATTATTCCCGGTTCATAAAGAAATTACGCGCAAGGTTTATTTTAACACTAAACGTTGATCACAAAGGTTGGATATTCATTATCAAAGGTTGGTCGCTACACCTCTTATCAATTCATCAATCAATCATTTATCAAGTTTAATAAAATCAAAAAATAAAATCCAGTAGGGATCGTAGTATTATAACCGACACGGTAAAGGTCATGCATTATTGCGATCGCTTGTTTAGTATAAAGTTGGGTGTGTTTAATGAAGTTAATATAGAAAAAGAAAAAAATAATACATGTGATTGATAATAAATATTACGATTACATGAGTTTTTTTTTTTTTTTTTTAAAAAAAAAAGTTTAAGTATATGTTTGGATAGATAACTAATGGTTAGTGTTGAAATCGTCCTTAGGAAATCGTCAAGATTTAAAGTTCGCTTCGTGAAAATATGGAGTAAAGGCTACATACACAAAATCATTTAAAGTGTCAGTCCTTTGGCCGATCTGGACATCGCTTTTTCTTTTTTCCTTTTTTTTTTAAAAAAGAATTATGTATAATATTATAAAGGTATTATTTAAGTAATGATTAGGGGGTTTGAGGGGTTCGTGAAAATTACATTTGTTTTTTTGGTGCGGAAAGGAGATTCTCATCTTTCCAACCTACTCGGCATCATGAATGCCCTCACCATAAAAAAAAAAAAAAAGGCCAGAAAAGAAGCGACGATGGTCAAGGTTATCTAATATATTAATTATCATTATCGAGCATGAAAGATTTCGATTATGACGGCGTTGGGCGCGTGGCAGAGTAAAAACAAGTCCAAAGAAGAGATTACTCGGCAGTGTTTCCTAAAGATTTTTTTTGGGGGGGGGAATACCGTTCTCGATCTCTCCCTTTCCGCATTTTGTAATTTCAAAGATAAATTTATATATATTCCCACTCACTCTTTACAAAATTTTACAAGATTTTTTTTGGTAGATTTTTAATTTTATACGTGTTTTTATCACGAATAATTTTTTCTAAGAAAAATTATTATATTTCTTTCAAGCTAGTTAAAAGAAGGAAAAAAAAAATAATTAAAGAATGAAAGTGGTAAGTTGCTATATGCGACTAAAAAAGAAAAGTGTGAGGCGTGAGCGTAAGGTGAAGATATTCATAATATACATAGGTAAGGGGGAAAAAGAAAGGTAGTATAGGAAGGAAATTTTTTTTCGATAAAAACAATCTATCATCAGTGTTTTCTAAAAAGAAAAAAAAAAAAAAAAAAATGGTGCCAAGCCGGCGGGACCAAATTCCACCAACCAGATTAAAAAGAAGATACATCTCACTTCAATGTTCATCATAACAGTAAATTAGTAGATTTCAAATTTGTTTTAGTGTTTTTTTTTTTTTTTTTTTTTGGAATTAAGATAAAGTAGTCCCCCCGAGATCAAAGTTTAAATTATTTAGAAAAAGTCCATATCTCTTAAGTTTTCTTAAAAAACTTTATTTGTCAACCTCATAGGTAAAAAAGCATATCAGTTCACATGTTTGAGAAATCATGTAAGCTCGTATTCGACGTGTAGCTATATTAAATTATGGTGGTAGTGGTGATGATTTCATTAGTTGCGTTGGTACGACCCCCGTCTCTTAACAATAAGCGACGTCCCCTCTTACCCAAGAGGAGACGTCAAGATTCACCATACTGCCTGTTGAGGAAAACCCGTCTTTGCTCTCGCCCAGCGAATCATTGGAAAATTCGTTAAAGGTCAGAAATTCGCTGACATCAGAAGCTGTGTCAGATCCGCTGTTCATGTTAAACATGCTTGCAAAGTCATCACTCGAAACATTAGGTAATCCGGACATCGAAGGTGCGAAATTTACCATAGCGGCGGCAATTTGATCGTTTGAGAGTAAGTTTGATGAGTCCAAGGTCAAATTACTCAAGTTGTGAGCAGGCAAAGATACGAAAGGATCTTGATT